CATTGAGAAGTCGGTAGCTAACCTTATTGGGGCTCCCTTGTATGTTATTTCTTTTTTCTCCCTTGCTGCCTTTAAGATTCTCTCTTTGTCTTGGAATTTTGCCATTTTGATGATGATGTGTCTTGAGGTGGGCCTCCTTGGGTTCCTCTTGATTGGGACTCTCTGTGATTCCTGGATTTGTGAGACTTTTTCTCTTATCAAATTAGGAAAATTTTCTCTCATTACTCGTTCAAATACGTTTTCTATTCCTTGTTCTTCTTCTTCTCCTTCTGGTATTCCTATTATTCGTATATTATTACGTTTCATATTGTCTTGCATTTCTCTTAATCCCTCTTCATTCTTTCTGAGCCTCTTTTCATTTTCTTGCTCTTTCTGTGAGATGCTTTCTACCCTGTCCTCCAACTCACTAATCCTATCCTCCGCTTCATCTATCCTACTTTGGAAACTTTCTACTGTGTACTTCAATTCGGAAATTGTATTCTTCATTTCCTCTTGTCTCTTGCTGATGGTTTCCATTTCCTTTTTGATGTTGCTGTAGTTTGCAGAGAGATCATTATAATTTCCCTGTAGTTTCTGGTAGCTCACTGTGAGCTCTTTGAGCTCTTTGAACTTCGTAATAACCAGTGCTTTGAATTCACTGTCTGATAGTTGATCAGCGTCTATTTCATCTAACATTCTTTCTGAAGTTTCTGCTTTTTCTTTCATTTGGGGATTGTTTCTTTGTCTTCCCATTGTTTTAGACTCTTCTTGTTAGTCTCTGCTTCCAAAATTGATCTGTTCTGAAACACTGGTTTTATGGTGTAAACTTCTGTGGTATGTTCCTTGTGAAGTTCAGTGGTACAGACTCCTTGAAGTTTCTTGATGTTCTTCGTCTCCACCTACACTCACGCTGGTCCTCACACTGGTCTCTGCGTTGGTCGCCTACCACTGCTGAATGTCCCGGCTCTAGTAGCCGCCTCCTCAAGCACCCAGGCCCGTTACTAGGGCAGTGGCACAGAGGCTGGGAATGTCCTGGCTCCCGTATCTGGCTCTCTCTGCCGCCCAGGGCCGTCACAGGGGCTTGGAGTGTCCCAGTTTCCGTACCTGACTCCCCGGCGTCTAGTCCTGTCTCTATGGCAGTGGCACAGAGGCTTAGAAAGTCCCAACTCCCGTACCTGATTCCCCAGTGTCCAATCCCCTTGCTATGGCAGCAGCACAGGGGTTGTGACCCTCCCAGTTCCCGTAGAGGGATCCTCTGCCACCCCGGGCTGTCTCAGGGGTTTGGAGTGTCCAGGCTTCCGTACCTGACTCCCCGACGTCCAGCCCCGTCGCTATGGCAGCGGCACAGGATTTGAGAGCTTCCCGGCTCCCGTAGCTGTCTCCTCAGCTGCGTCACAGGGGTTTGGAGAGTCCTGGCTTCCGTACCTGACTCCCCGGCGTCCAGTCCCGTGGCTATGGCAGCGGCACAGGATTTGAGAGCTTCCTGGCTCCCTAGCTGGCTCCTCAGCTGCATCACAGGGGTTTGGAGTGTCCGGGCTTCCGTACCTGGCTCCCCGGCGTCCAGTCTCGTCGCTATGGCAGCGACACAGGATTTGAGAGCTTCCCGGCTCCCGTAGCTGGCTCCTCAGGGTCCAGGCCTGTCTCTATGGCGGCGTCACAGGGGCCTTTGGTGTCCCAGCTCCTGCAACTGACCCTTCCGTTGCCCAGGCTAGTAGCTATGGCATCGGCACAAGGGTGTCCCCGCTCTGGTTCCTGACTCCTCTGTCTCCCAGGACCGTCACAGGGGCTTGGAGTGTCCGGCTTCCGTACCTGAGGCCCCGGCTCCCAGGCCTGTTGCTCTGGCGGCAGTACAGGGGCCGCGTGAGACCCAGCTCCAGTAGCTGACTCTGCTGCCGTCTGGTGTTTCAGCGTCGGTCACAATCTCTGGTCTTTTAATTTCATAAATGCTGGGTAACCGATGGTTTATTGTGCTGTTTTTCCATAGATCTGCCAGGATTTTCACCCATGAGTACAGGAGCTAGTATCCGCTCCATCTTACTCCGTCGCCATCTTCCCACCTAGTTATATTTAAAAGAACCTAAAAGTTAGGCCAGATAACTGGTGGGTAACCATCAGTTTGCTCTCTGTATCTATGAGTTTTTAAGGATCTTTATACATCACATGTAAATTTACCAAAAGAAGCAGAAATAACAGTCTGGACTCCTAGAAAACATCCAAAATCCTTTATTCAAAACCTCTGAAACCACATTCAAATAATGTTTTATTGTTTTTAAATTTTTAAAAATGTATTGTGTTGATTATGCTGTTACAGTTCTCCTATTTCCCCCCTTCATTCCCCTCCACCCTGCACACTCTCTCCCACCCACATTCCCCCCTTTACTTCATGCCCATGTGTCTTAAGTTCTTTAGAGTTTATATTTCCCATACTATTCTTGCCCTCTCCCTGTCTATTCTATACCTACCATCTATGCTACTTATTCTTTGTACCTTTTCCCCCTCTCTTCTCCTCCCACTCCCCTGTTGCTAATCCTCCATGTGGTCTCCATTTCTGTGGTTCTGTTCCTGTTCTAGTTGTTTGCTTAGTTTGTTTTTGTTTTAGGTGTGGCTGTTAATAATTGTGAGTTTGCTGTCATTTTACTGTACATGTTTTTTATCTTCTTTTTCTTAGATAAGTCCCTTTAACATTTCATAAAATAAGGGCTTGGTGATGATGAACTCCTTTAACTTGACCTTATCTGAGAAGCGCTTTATCTGTTCTTCCATTCTAAATGAAAGCTTTGCTGGATAGACCAATCTCGGATGTAGGTCTTTGGATTTCATGACTTGGAATACTTCTTTCCAGCCCCTTCTTGCCTGTAAGGTCTCTTTTGAGAAGTCAGCTGACAGTCTGATTGAAAGTCCTTTGTAAGTAACCGTCTCTTTTTCTCTTGTTGCTTCTAGAATTCTCTCCTTCATTTTAATCTCAGGTGATGTAATTATGATGTGCCTTGGTGTGTTCCTCCTTGGGCCCACCTTTCAGGACTCTCTGAGCTTCCTGGACTTCCTGGAAGTCTATTTGCTTTGCCAGATTGGGGAAGTTCTCCTTTATTATTTGTTCAAATAAATTTTCCACTTTTTGCTCTTCCTCTTCCCCTTCTGGTACCCATATAATTTGGATATTTAAGGATGTCCTGGAGGTTCCTAAGCCTCTAATCATTTTTTTGAATTCTTGTTTCTTCATTCTCTTTTGTTTGGTTGTTTCTTTCTTCCTTCTGGTCCACTCCATTGATCTGAGTCCCAGCTTTCTTCCCATCACTATTGGTTCCTTGTACATTTTCCTTCATTTCACTTAGCATAGCCTTCATTTTTTCATCTAATTTGTGACCAAATTTGACCAATTCTGTGAGCATCCTGATCACCAGTGCTTTAAACTGTGTATTTGATAGGTTGGCTATCTTTTGGTTGCTTTAGTTGTATTATTTCTGGAGCTTTGATCTGTTCTTCTGTTTCTAACATTTTTTTTTGTCTTGTCACACCTGTTAAATAGTGAGGGGCAGAGCCTTAGGTGTTCACCAAGGCAGGGCAACCCAGATTGCTGGGTTGTGATGCTGTATGTGGGGGCTTGGAATAATGGTGTTTACTTGGCTCTCTGTCACACCCTTCCGCTGCTTCCCCCAAGCAAACTGGGCCCTTCTGATGCTGGCTCCCAGGTGGGTGGGCTTGTGTATGTCCTAGGACTCTGTGGGTCTCACAAAGATCTCTCCTGTGAGGCTGGGAGTCTCTCCCTGCACATCAATTCCCACAGGTGTTTTCAATCAGTGTTTTGAGGCTTTATTTCCTGGCACTGGGACCCTGGGTTCTGAGGTCTGTCTCCCTCCCCAGTTATCTGCATGGGAATGTGGGACCACCCAGTCAGCCAGCCACCTTCACACTTGCTCCCTTGCTGGGTCTGCCTCTTTCCACCCCCATGCCTGGGTTCTTCCAACTGCTGCCTGGGTGTCTAGGTTCTGCCCACCACCATCTTGCACACCCAGGGTGCCTTGTGCGCCCCATGTCACCGCTTCTTGTGCTGTGACCCTCTCTGCTAGGCTGCCCGACTCCGCCCTGCCTACCAGTCTAGATGAATGTGTCTATTTCAGCTCCTTGGCTGTCTGATGCCCATACAGTTCAATTTTCTGTCAGTTCTGGTTGTTATTTTGTTTCTAAAGTTTTGTTGTCCTTATTTGGTTGTGTGCAGAGGCACAGTGTGTCTACCTATGCATCCATCTTAGCCAGAAGTATTGTTTTATTGTTTTAGAGAGATGCTGTGGTTTATGTCCTATTTGTTACAAAAGACCCCAATAACATTTAGGGCAGAATCTCATTCTCAAATACATTAATGTTTTTATAAAATATGTGAACTCACATGAGGTGTGATCTATAAAAATTTTAGATGGATTAATGGCAGCTAAGTGCAAATTCACTTCCAAGTTAGTTAGCTCAAAACCTATGAAAATAATGTTTGTTTTCAAAACTTTTAACATTCTGTATAAGAGCTAGAGGACTGTGGGTCTTTGCTTCATTTCATAATGATCTCTTTCCTTCGGATGAGAAGAGAAAGAAATAATCATCACCACATCTTTATGTTCTAAATCCTTCAACAATGTGAGGAGTTATAAGTTTTACAGATTGTTTGGTTATAGAGTACTGGCTGCATTTTCCTTTGCTTCCAAACCCTGAGGACATTGAGAACAATTAATGTAGTCGCTCTCCTCTTAGGGGACCCAGCTGACATCTCATGAAAATCTTAAGACCTGGACAGGATGGAAAACCTGTTACTATTCCTGCATAAACTGTAGTACAGAGGTATTTAAGATGTTTTTTAAAGTTCTGGACTCCTACTTCTCAAATAAGTAGGTTTTTAGTTTTCTTTAGAAGAAAGGGAGAAATACGAAATCAGATATCCAATAAACTTAAGCACCTGCATCATTTATTAATTATCCTAAATGTGTAACTTTTACTTATTCATTTCTGTTTTCTCACTACCACTTGTTATTTTTTAGGTCCTGTGGATCTTGGAAAATCCCTTACTTCACAAAAGGCCAAGAAAAAAAGATGTAAGAATGAATAAGATTTTACTTGGTTTTAATGTGAGAAATGAGTTTTAAATACCAGAGTTTCATCATTATTATTATTTATAACATTGTAGTAGGTGGAACCAAGTCTCCTCAAAGACGTCCATGTTATAATCCCTGGGACCTGTAATCTGTTATCTCACATGACAAATGAACTTTGCAGATCTGATTAAACCAGGGACCTTGAGATGGGGGAGATTATCTTGGATCACCTGGATGGCCCCAATACACTCCCACAGGCCTTAAAAAGTGGGGAGCCTTTCTTGGCTGTGGAGAGAGGACGAAGTGACTCTGGAGGAACAGTCAGAGAGGCACTATATCACTGGCTCTGCAAATGGAGAAAGGACTAGGTAATATGGGGGACCTTAAGAAGCAGGAAAAATAAAGAAAACAGATTGTCCCCTACAGCCTCCAGAAAGGAATGCGAGTCTGCTAAAAACTTGATTTTAGCACCCTGAGGCAGTGCTAGAATTCTAAATGAAATTGATTAGATAACAAATACACATTGTTTTAAGCCATTATTTGTAATAAATAGGGCAACATATGGAAATAATAGAGACTTTGGTTCTTATAAGTGCCTTGTGGCTATAAAACATCCCTAAAAATGTGTCAGTGCCTTTGGACAGTGGCCAGAGCCACTGGAGTATTTTAAGGAGGATGATAGAAAAAGCCTAGGTTGCCTTGAGCTGCTTGGGAGTAAAAATGTGGATGCTGAAAACCTAGAGAGGACTCAGGAGAAGGGAAGATTATGGGAGAGAAAACCTGTGTTGTCTCAGAGAATACATAAATCATCAGAATGGCACAAATGTGCAAAGCTACATGTAAAGGAAGAAAGAGAATGCAGTGAAGAATGTGGAGAGCCAAGAGAATGCAGAGCAGCCTACTGAGAGTGAAATTTCTTTGCCAGGGCAGCAGCTGTATGTGTCACCATCACTTAAGAATCAGGGGTCTGACTACATGGGGAGCTAAGACAGTTATACTGATGCCTGGTGTCTCTGCTAAAGCGTTCTGATTGTGGGGAGTTTGAGAGGTGAAATCAAGGTAGACATTCTGTGGTTATGTATCAAAAATACCACTGAAAGACTCTGAAACTGTGGAGATTTGTGGAATAAAGTTTTCTAAGTACCCCTATGACTTTATAGAAATGACCTCAACATAGGAGAAAGTTGTACATGTCCAATTGTGAAATGAGACAGAATGAAAAAATCTCTTTCAGGCTCAAAAAAGCATGAAGAATTTGTGGATTTTCACTCTGAAATACTTCCTGTGACCTGTGGAGAGATGAAAGGCATGTTACATAAGAAGAAGTTGGAAGAAGGTGAGTTTAATGGTGTACTTTAATTTGTAATATTTATTCAAAGGGATCACAAGAATTGATGGAATTATCCATGTGAATTAACCATTATTCAAGAAATTGAGGGCCCACTGTGGCTTGAAAGAAGAAGGAAGGGATCCTTAAGATAATATTTTTACAGGTTAAGAAGTGGTGGATATTAAGTGCTCACCCCCATGTGGCAGCACTTGTGAGGTTGCCCAAAAAATCAAAGAGAAGTGCAGGATCGTCCGTCTACGGGTGGAAAATACTGCGTTTTCCACTTTGAATCAGATATAACAGGGAAGAGGCCCTCAGCCTGCAAGTTCATCTCCTGTATCCCATCTGGGTAATCACCACCAGGACAGAGTGTTAGATGCAGTGAGGAGACCACAGAGTTTAGAATCAGAAAACCTGATCCCAGCCTCAGCTCTGCTGAGAGTGACAGTATGAAGACTGGGACCTTCCTGAGCCTGAAACTTCCCATCTAAGACATGGGTAATAATTACAAACCGGCCTCCTGCTGTGACTTTGAGAGTTAGTTTACATAATGAATATAACATGTTTGGTGATTTTAACATTAGAAAGCTTGTCAATAATTGTCTATTGTGATGAACTTAATAGGAGATTTCACTTTAAATGGATAGTGAAAACCAATTAATATAATTGTCTGCATCAAAACTATGTTTTTAAACAGCTTAACGGAGATATAACTCATACAATTCACCACTTAGAGCAGGGGTGTCAAACTCATTTTCACCAGGGGCCACACCAGCCTTGTGGTTGCCTTCAAAGGGCCGAATGTAATATTAGGACTGTATAAATGAAACTGCTCCTTAACAGTTAAGCAAGAGCTCAGCGCTGTGGCCCAGTAGAAACAAGGTGCCAGGCTGGATAAAACAAGGTGGAGGGCCAGATTCAGCCCGCAGGCCTTGTGTTTGTCACCTGTGACTTAGAGTATAGAATTCATTGTTGGGTTTTTGTTTGTTTGTTTCTTTTCTAAGTTCATAAGATTGTGCAACCATCATCACAGTCTAGTTTTAGAACATTTTTGTCCCCCACTAAGGGACAACTCGCGCCTCTCAGTATAGTCAATGCCAACTGCCACCCCACCCCACTGCCCAAACCGAAACAACCACCAATCTATTTTCTGGCCTATGAACTGATCTATCTAGCCATTTCATATCAATTACTCATATAGCATGTGCCTTTATGTGACTGGTTCTTTCACACAGCATAATGTTTTCATGGTTCACCCATGCAGTAACATGTATTATGTATTTCCTTCTTCTTGATGCCAAATAACATATTATTATACCCTGGTATGCATATGCCATGGAATGGTATTTTGCTTATCTATCTATTTGTTGGAGTTTTCCCACTCTTTGGCTATTATGAAAGGTGCCATTTTGAACATTCTCATAACATATTTGTGTGATGTATTTTCAAAAATTCTTTTGGGTATATACTCAGGAGTGGAATTTCTGAGTTATATGGTACTTCTCTATTGAACTTATTGAGAAAAATAAACTACCTTCTATAGCACTGCACCAGTTTATGTTCCCACTGGCAAAGTCTTGGGGGTCCAAATTCTCTACATTCTCACCAGTACTTATTATTGTCCATCTCTTATTATGGCCATCCTAGTGCTTAGAATGTAGGATTTCATTGTGGATTTGACCTGCCTTTTTGTAATGATTAATGTTATTATGACTGTCTATTATGTATAACTTAAATTTTCCACTGAATACTATTTCCCAGTTATTTAATGCTAGCTACCTATGATTTCAGGGATGGAAAATCACTGCTCAGTAATGCCGTTAAACTTAGATGGAAGCTGCTGTAATGGAGGGCACAGATGTTTCCCTGGTGCCATTTTGAGCAGCAGGGCCCCCACCTGAGTTCTCAGCCCATGGTGAGGTTCTGCCTCTACACTGTGTCAGGGCCATCAGAGAGTCTAGCCTTTTCTCTGTCTCCAGAATTCAATAGCAAATTGAAATCATCTTGTTATGCAAACTCACATTCTTTATTTGTAGGTGACTGTAGAATACTTGTATAATGTTGAGTAGATGCTAATGATCACTTTTTGTTGTTGTTGTTGCATAAAGCTCAAAGATATGTGTTCACAAATCAGGAAATCTTGAAGGGGATATGTAGATGGGTTTTGGGAATTCTGATGTATGAAAGGGAAGGTCAGACTCTTCTAATATTGATCCTGAGCCCAAATTGGGTAACTTCTGATTCAGGGTGGTGGGAGGCCAGTGTCTGAGCTCTGAGGACAAAGAGGTGCCAGGAATCAACTTGTCCTGGTCTTACAGGATCCACGGTGAAGTGCATAGAGACAGAGGATGGACGTTGGTTCACCCCCCAGGAATTTGAAGCTGCAGGGGGCTATAAAAGTTCAAGTAATTGGAAGAACACTGTGCGCTGTGGTGGGAAAACCCTAAAACGGCTGATGGAGGTATTTCAGTGAGGGGCAGGAGGTGTGACATTCCTTGCTGTGGTTGAACATAAGGTCACTGATTGATTACCCAATATATGTTGAGTTATCTCTAGAGCCCCAGGGCCTCTGACTTCATGCTTTCCTAAGAGACAGTTGCCTGACCCTCACACCTCAGTACAAGGCAGCATATCAGTTTGTCAAAGGGGCTCTTTCCAGGTAGGTTCAGGAGTTTGAGGAGGGGAAGATCATACTTAAGTGCTTGCAGACAATTTTAGGCACTGAAACAAAGAGGACTGTCTGCATTCAATCAAGTGGGCAGAAGGCACTTTGGGGAAAGAATGGCATGGAAACTAAAACCATGATCAATTTAGCTCTGTGGGTTGAGGTAGATGGATTGTTTGACCAAATCCATTAACTGGGATTGTATGCACTGGAATTTAATGTCAGGCTAGAAAGTTTAAAATCATAACATAATGCAGAACCAGGGATGTCTCTTGAGGTCTGAAATGACATATTTAAAACAGTATCTCAGACAATGTGGGGACTTGAAATGACTTCACTGTCTTTCAGCCCAAGAAACCAATAGTCAACCTGCAAGGCTCAGCTCCCATGTCACTCCTGTCTGAATGTTCCCTGACTGACCTGGTCACCCCTTCCCTGGTCCCCCTGAACTCTGGAGTAAGGCCCTTCTCACACTGTCTTATTCTTATCCTTCCATGCATTCCCTTTGTCTCTTCGGGCATTCCTAAGGGTTTGTCCTTCTTTGTCTGCCCAAAACTATCCATGTGTCTGACACCATGTAGGTTTGGGGCATCTGTGTGTCAGTTGAATAGCCCTGGTGTGAAGAGGCAGGTGAGTGGCACTGGTGAGAATGGAAAGGAGGGGAAAGGTTTCAAAGGGATTGTGAAGAAAAATCTCTGAAAACTTAGGGGAAAAGCACACGAGCAAGGAAACATGTTCTAAAAATGATTTTCTGGGTTCCATGGATAAATTCTACAATAAGTACAAGTGAAGAGAGAGAGAATTTTTCCCATTGAGCTGATAGTATGATGTCCAGAAAAAATTTTTACAAGGAGGTTAATACAAGACTCACAGAACATTATCACAGGCTAAACATATACTTGGATCTTTTTATTTTTCAGGAGGAAAAGCTACCTACACCACCAAGAAAATATAGCAAGAAAAAAAAGGTAATTATCCTTTTATACTAGTTCTTATTACCTACCTGATTTGATATGTACTGCACATTTTTTATGGTTTCTCAATTAGTGATTATCATTGTTTCCTCTTTTTGTCTCTCCTACCTTTATTTCACCTCATTATTTTGCATTTTCAGAGTTGCTCCATTGAACATTAGTTTGTATGCAAGGTTATCTGTGGATGCTAAACCACTAGATGTTCAAACATGGAACCACCAAAAAAGACTCTTGTAGTTAAAGATATTGTTAGGGTGTCAAATGTAATGCCAACATGATTATGGAATACACAAAAACACTTAATCAGGTCACAGGGTCATCTTCAACTCAATCCCAGATTTCTTTGATAAAGGTTACTATTTCTCAACTTTAATGAAGTCTGATAAAGTTTGCTCCCCATCTTTCAGATGAACCTGTCTAGTAAATGGTGTATCTTGGGACATATATGAAACCATATACTACTTCGTGAGATACAATACTAAGAGCATATTTTTTTCTCTGATTACCTACATACTCTTTCATCTTTCAATAAGATATACACAGAGACCTACAGAATTCTTTCTCAGGCAGAAATTATTGGCAAATCTTTCATGAAGATGTTGCTGTTGGGGAGGGAACTCTTGAGAGATGGATATAGTTTAGGTGGGGGGCTGACCTAGAAAATTATTTACTTTGATGTCATCCTTTTGGCTCTACCTCAGGGGCTGAGCAGGCCTCCTTTCTATCTCCGAAAGTGGTTCCTCCGTCTGTGGAAGAAGGCTGTGGAGGCAACAAACACATAATATGCAGTGTAGATTCAGAACAAAGTGATAGTGTTTTCAAGTTCGGGGATGAATGAGATGAATGAGAACTTGAGAAGGAAGGGAAGGTGCGAGGTGCCATTCTTACACACTTGAGGTTGAAATGGCCACTCAGGACATTCACAGAATTCTACATTATCTTATACAAAGCTGGCCACTGAGACTTCATCTAACACTGGGAATGTGAGCTCCAGGCCTTTACATTATGTGACAATCTGCAAATTTGGAACTAATTATCAGTCTTTGGGACTTTTCATCCACTGAGTTTACTGAAGATGAAATATATTTAACATACTTTATTCAGTGACTACTTTGAAAGCAATATCTCTACCATTTTCCATATGTCTAGAGTTACCTTATCTGGATTACCTAACATAGCTGGCAACTTCCAACAATGGGTCTATCCTTTTGCATGGTCCCAACATTTTGTAGCAACAGGGAACACTTTTCTATGAAGAGACTCAAAGTGTTAAATCTTAACACACATTACTACCTGGCGGTTCCTCTTGCTTCCCTGAAATTCTCTTGCTGATGGAACCCCCAGTTTTTCTAAATTTTGGAGTGACACTTGGTACCACATGACAGTTTTTTATCTTTTGATGAGGGCCACTGATGCTTTCTGGTGACAGCAGCTGTGTTGTCAAATAATCTTATCTATTCAGCCAAAATGATAATTTATTATATGCTAAGATTTGCTTAAGAATAGCATGTGATCACTTTTCCCAAGGGACACGATACTCATTTATTTACTCATTCAACATACAGTTGAGTGCATAAAAATGCTAGATGCCCATAAGGAAGATTGAAATATCTCTGACCTCAAGGATTGTTTCACCTTCATTATCTACCATGGAAGTGTTACTGGAAGCAGGGATTCTAGGGAGCTCAAGTGGTAGGCAGTGACATGATCCTTTCTCAGGTCACTTTACAGCAGATTACATCTGTGTATGACATATGTGACTTGGCTGGAGATATAAGCTGACGCTGCCTCAAGGGAAGGAGGCCAAGTCATTTTACTGAACATGCACAAGCAATGCAAGTGTAGTGCACAGTGGTCAGTTTCCTGTAAATAGTCTGCCAGGTGCCTTCTTGGGATTTGGATGGAAGCAAGATAAGGGTGACCTTCTGGTAGAAAAATTACAGTACTAAATATCTTTGGTTGATTTTATTTTTAGGGCAATGCCCTAGAAGAGCTTCAGGAGGTGGTAGATATTTTCTCTGGGACACTTGCCTGGTTCCCAGGACCCTGAATGATAGATGGAGACCCAGAGGTCCTGTCATACTGCCAGTAGCCAAGAGTCCCTAGGGAGGAGAAGGAAACTGTTCCAACAACAGTACCTTCATTCATGTTAATAATAATCTTTCCTGGGATAGATGTTACAGGCATATCAACATTGCCTTATAATATTTGCATGCATTACTAACCACACTGGCTCAAACCTAATCTCCATTTAGGCTGCACTAGAATCATCTGAAGACCTTTGTAAAATAGCATTGCCTAGATTCTTCCCTCTATGAAATTGTAATTTAATCAGTCTAAACTATTACTTGCACATTGTGATTGTTTAAAACTTTGTATGACTAGCCCCTTACCCCTTGGCCACCATACCTGACAGCCAGTTTAAAACTTTATAGATAATTCTGTTACACAACTTACTCAGTCTGTGACTTAACAAGAGCGCCAATGTCTGTGCCTCAGTGCAGACCGATTGATCAGAATCTCTTACATTGGGAACAGAACTGTAGCATTTTATATACTATCCTCAGGCAATTCATATGTGCAGCTGGTTTAAGAAACAAAGAGTCAAACAGAAAGGAACCTTAAGTTGATTAAGGATTAAGGATGCAACATTATTATGCATTGGTTACAGTTTTTATTTCCTTGTTCTTCTGGGAAGAGGGTTACCATGACCTGGAGAACAATGATGGTAATCTGTGAGTCCCTACAGTGAGAAGAAAGAAACTGTCCCCAGGCCTCCAAGCTGGAGCAGTTTCAGTCCCATTTGGGAATGTGATTCAGGATTCAAAGAGAAAATTGAACGGGGACTATGGCAAGATGGTCCTTGGGTCTTGATTTTTGTTATGCACAAATATTTTTAATATATTTTTATTTTATTGATTATGCCATTACATTTGTTCTATTTCCCCCCTTCATTCCCCTTCACCCTGTACACCCCTCCCCCACCATTCCCCCCTTTAGTTCATGAACACGTGTCTCAAGTTCTTTAGATTCTATATTTCCCCTACTATTCTTACCCTCCCCCTATCTATTTTCTATCTACTGTCTATGCTACTTATTTTCTGTACCTTCTCCCCCCCTTCTCCTTCTCCCACTCCCCTGTTGCTAACCCTCCATGTGATCTTCATTTCTATGGTTCACTCCTGGTCTAGCTGTCCTCTTAGTTTGCTTTTGTTTTAGGTGTGGTTGTGGATAACTGTGAGTTTGCTGTTCTTTCACTGTTCATCTTTTTATCTTCTTTTTCTTAGGTAAGTCCTTTTAACATTTCATATCATAAGGGCTTGGTGATGATGAACTTCTTGAATTTGATCTTATCTGAGAAGCACTTTATCTGCCCTTCCATTCTAAATGAAAGTTTTGCTAGATAGAGCAATCTTGGTTGTAGGTCCTTGCCTTTCATGACTTGGAATACTTCTTTCCAGCCCCTTCTTGCCTGTAAGGTCTCTTTTGAGAAATCAGCTGACAGTCTGATGGGAAGTCCTTTGTAGGTGACTGTCCCCTTATCCCTTACTGCTTCTAGAATTCTCTCCTTCATTTTAATCTTGGCTAATGTAATTATGATGTGCCTTGGTGTGTTCCTTTTTGGGTCCAACTTCTTTGGTACTTTCTGAGTTTCCTGGAAGTCTATTTCCTCTGCCAGAATGGGAAAATTCTCTTTTATTATTTGTTCAAATAAGGTTTCCACTCATGACTGTTCCTCTTCCCCTTCTGGCACTCCTACAATTTGGATGTTGGAGCGTTTAAAGATGTCCTGGAGATTCCTAAGCCTCTCCTCATTTTTTAAAATTCTTGTTTCTTCATATTTTTCTGTTTGGTCATTTTTTCCTTCCTTCTGGTCTGCTCCCTTGATTTGAGTCCCAGTCTCCTTTCCATTACTATTGGTTTCCTGTGCATTTCCATTCATTTCAATTAGTTTAGCCTTCATATGTTCCTCTAATTTTTGACTAAAATCAACCAGTTCTGTGAGCATCCTGATCACCAGTGTTTTGAACTGTGCATCTGAAAGTTTGGCTATTTCTTCATTGCTTAGATTTATGGGCTCTGGGGCTCTGAGTTGTTCTTGAGCCATGTTTTGATCTGTTTGTGCCTGTTACATATGAGGAGAGGTGCCTTAGATGTTCACCAGGGCGGAGCCACCCAGGTTGCTGATTTGTGACGCTGTATGTGGGGGTCCTCTATGCTGGCCTGGTCCACCTCACTGCTTGCCCCGACCTGTTTATCTGAGTGCAAATGTGCAGGCCACCACCCTGCGCCAGGGCCTGCGAGGTCTGTCTCAATGCTAGTCTCTTCACTGGTTTATCTGCACACAAATGCGCAACCACAGGCAGCCAGCCATGCCATGCTGTGCCATGCCTTCCCTGGGTCCGCCTGTAGCTACCCCACACCTGGTCGTCTGCCTGTGTGCTGCCCAGGCAGGGGATCTTTTATGCCCGACCCACTCCACTGTTGGCTTCACCCATCTCACCGGTTTAGCTGAGCGGTATGTTGTTTTCGGACTCTGTATTGTTCTATTTTCTGTGGTTTGGTTGCATTTATTGTTGTTAAAACTTTATTGTTTTTAGATTTGGTTGTGCGAGGAAGCAAAGTGTTTCCACTTATGCCTCCATCTTGGTGGAAGTCTATGCATAAATATTTTTAAAAGCAAAAGCGATGACCTGAATCTAAATTTTCCCAACACAAGAATTTTCACTGAAAAGTGAAGAACAAGATTCAAAATGATTATTAGTTAGTCACTTTTCATCTTTTATTCCTTTCTGCACTGAGGGAGATGACATAGCTATGATCCAAATTCCTCTGCCCATTTGCTTCAAGAGGCATATTTCTGATTTTTGTGTACTCAACCAAGATATAGTATAGACTTTGAAAAATAAACCACTTTTCTTTATGTATTAAGGTACAAATTCTCACTAGGGTCTCAGCATCTCTGCATGCAGTGGACCCTACATGAGTGATGGAACAATCAAAAACAGCTTAAAAATTACTGTGTGGCATAGGGACAGATAGGATTTGGAACACAAGTAGGACAATATACCCAGGATGGATGCTCAGGCCTGTGGTCAATGTTGTACATTTTGTGAAATGGAAGCACCAAGAAAGAACATGTAGTGAGTGTTAGGACAAGTTTCAGCTGCATGAGTTTGGGGTGTGGTTTAAGGGTCTGGGAGGAGATGCTGAGTGAACACAGAGATATGCAGGAAGGCAGGAGACAGGCTGGACATTTGAGAGCTATGGCCACAGCAATGTAACTGTGGATTTCAGAGTGATTTGATCACCTAGGGCCAACCAAATAGCCAAAGGTGGAAACTTGGAGGATTCTCTCAAAATGTTGGAGGAAAAGAATGACTGGAAAGGAAAGAGATAGAACAGTGAAGCTGATGAAGTAAACCCAGGAGAATGATGGAGTAACTGAACAAAAATGGAGGTTCAACTACCTGTTGCTACAAAGGCCAAATTCGTGAGGCAGATTTCAGGCCAATTCAACATTGACTTATAAAGGCACAGGATTTCTTCAGGTGCTACATGACTTTGGATAATGGCGAGCTCCTTTCTCACCAACCATCTCTTTCTTCCCTGCAAAAAGTCCAACTGTCCTCAGCAAGGTCAAGAGAAAAGCCAGTGTCCAGAATACCTGCTCTGTTTTCAAGTACATTCCATTGGAACCCTCAGGTGGCTGCTCAGTGGTCTTAGTCCCCATCCAAGCAGTTTAGCATGTTCCCAGCTTCTCCCATCTGTAGCCTGTGAGTAGAGCCCACATGGCCATGGGTTGTGTGGCTACTAGGGCTGCTTGGTCAGGCAGCAGGCAGCTCTAGAGGAGAGTGTGCGAACACACTGGTGAGTGTACCACCAGGTAGGGAAAAGAGAAAGAGAGAGAGAAAGAGAGAGGGAGAGAGAATAAGGGGGAGACTGACTCCTTCATGGAGGCCGTGGGAAATGTGGTTGCTAAGGCCAGAGAGAACAGGCAAGTCCAACCTGTGAGTGCACATCAAGAGCAAGAGAGAGAGAACTTGTCCCCTGGGATTACATTAGCTACGGTGTGGGACAACCAGGTGCTTTCTCAAAATGACCAATCAAATCCCCAAACTTTCATGCACCTTGAGTGGGTTCATTCCAAATAATCTTTTCCCAGATTAGACTGACTTGTCTCTTTGGTCTAGCACCTTCTGCTGTACCATTTAAACTTTTACAACACATGGGTCTGCCTTTGCCTGGCCCCACCCCCAATCTAGCACAAGATTAGAGGTAAGTGCAGGGGAGAGGGCTTTTCTCTGTCCAATTATCTGGTGAGCTTTTTGCACACTCAGTGTAAGAACCTCCCACTCCCACCATCTTGGCCAATGTGGGAAGCTCCCTGGCATACCTACTGACTGTTTTACAGTAACAATGGCACACCACTTGTGTTTAGAGTAATCAAAAATATTCATAGAAGAAAAGGTTGGACACTGTCATCCCTGTTTCCTCCTGCTCCTCAGTGACCCACTTTCCTCCCATTCAGCACCCATCAATGGGTGTGCCAGTCCCCAAGCCATTCTTATTTCTGTTACCTCAGATGGTCACAAGAGGGTAGGAGTTTCTCCAATCCCAGGGGTTGTCAGGGTGTTTGTATCTGGAATATAACTACCCCCAAGTGGTTCTCAAACTGGATTCTCACACAAGGCTGACCCAGGAAAGCAACCAGGGGCAGATATGCTTTCTAAAATTCCTAATTTATATAAATACTGATTATCTTTTAAAAAATGTAACATTGTGTTTTATTTATTTTTAAAAATTTTTATTTTTCATGGTTATTCTTCCTTTTTTCTGAGGTCCTTTAATATTTCCATACCTGAAATTTTGAGGATCACCCATTATTTTGAACTGACCTGTGTTTTGGTGGTGTTAGAGAGTGCTTCACACAGTGTTCACAGTTGGAGTTCCCTATTCTATGGCTTACTGTGCCTTCAATGACTGGCTTCCTATTTTAATCACCTTCTTTTCATCCCATTGATAATGGAGGGATATTGAATGGACAGTTTAGAGGACAGCAAGTAATGGCGTCTGTCACTGGACAGATGGATGGACAGGTGTTTATTAGTCACATCTACTTCCAGACCAAGGAAGGAAGGCAGTGCCTCCCCCTGCAGGCCTCACCAAGGCTGCCCTCTGGAACCAAGTGGACAACCAGGTGCTGGGCAGTGAGGGGCGGTCCCCTGGTTTCCATGGGAGGTTGTGTCTGGCTTGTGTGAAAGATTCCATGGCTGACAGGGAACTGAAACCTGATATTCCAGGATGGGCAGGGTTACTGGTGGTCCCTGGACTAGGAGCATTGTTTATCTGTGGGACCTTATCTGGGAGAGCAGAGTGAAGAGGGGCACATGCAGATAGGTTGTCTGAGGCCATCTCAGAGTTACCAGATGTCACAGCAGCACTTGACATTGGATTTTAATGTTAGTCCTTACACCACGTTTTTTTTTTCACTAACGAAGGTCTCAGTCACAGTCCAGTTCCTTGTTATGAATACATGTGTTTACATATAACACAGTATATATTCATATTTTCTCTATAAATTTATCTGGGTTTAATAAGTAGGAGTTATGCTACAAGACTTGAATGTAAATACTGTCAAATATCCTCTTCTGTAAATTAAATTATAAATGGTTAAAGGCCACAGATTGAACTGGTAAGAAATCCAGTTTCACTGATTGTGGGATGGGGGGGCTCACCAGTCTGTTTACAAAATAAGGCAATTGCCATACTCCTTGGGTGTTCAGAGAGGGAGCCTCCACATTTACATACCAAGCTGAGTCATGGAGCATCTCTCTGTGGCTTCTAGAGCCAAAGAGCTCCACCCTTCATGACATCACCTGGTCATCTTTGCCAGGGTCTTTTCAAATCTGAGGCACTGTCACAGGTCCAGGGGCCCTCCAGGCCCACAAACCATAGTCCAGAAATTCCTGCCAGGCCCTTCAACTCATGGGGAGTTGACAAACAAGAAAACAGGATGATGAGCTTTCTTAGAAGTTTGCTCCATCTTATTAATTTCTCAATATACCGCCTTTCTATGAATTGTTTTAGTCATTGTGTTGTAGGCAAATGGATTTAACACCTTATTTTAGGATTTGGTTTATCTGTAAGTTAATAAATAATTCATATTTTTATAAAAATAATCATCTTGTTTAGTTGTGAGTCTCGCTGTGTTAGAATCTCTTGTGTTTTAGGGACAACATGTGTGATCTGGTACACAGGCCCCTCCTTCACTGCAGACAAAGAATTCTTCCTCTGAAATCTCCACTCAGAAGCACATAATTGTTCTCCCAGGTTTGCAAGAGCCTGTGCATTCAGAATGGGTACATTGTTTTACCTTCTAGCTTGAAAAGCCAGGTGTATGTGTGATCTGCCGGGATGGAGAAAACCTCCTCCGCTGTGATACTTGTTCAAGATCCTTTCATGGGGACTGTCACCTCCCACCTGTGCAGACTGAGAGGTTTGTGAGCTGCAGGTCCCCCTCACCTTTAGGGGCCCCTCCTCCTGCCATGTACACTCTCCATGGGGGGGGTTCCTTGTGTCCTGAGGGGGACAGAATGGGCCAGATGTACAAGCCCAGCAATATGATCCTGGGAGCTGTTGAAAGACTGGTGGCAGGAGTGAATGCTCTTTTTTCTCACCTGGGAGGCTGAGGCTGGTGGCTGAGTCTTTTGCCCACAGACTACTACTCTCCATTCTAGAACTTTCCTAGTATTGACTCCTGTTTATGGAAGTGGGAAAGCCAGCTGTCTGTGTTCTGTGCTTATTTAGAAAAGGCAAACAACATGAACTTTTTGCCATGTTTTCAGTTGGTTGATTGAGATCCTAGGCCCCTAGGTGTTAAGGTCCAGTCTCCAGCACTCAGGCCCAGTAGGCAAGATTCCTTGTGTTCCCAGAAGTTTAAGTGGGGAAAGGAGAGCCCACCACTACCTTGATACCACCCTGCACCTACTGTCCCCCAGTTGGTACCCTTGATGAAAGGAAGGTCATTGTCTCAGGCCCTACATGGGGGACCTGGAGACTCTGGGGAGTGACCCCTTCATTCTTAGTATTTGTCCATCCAGCATTCCTGAAAGGAGAACAGTGGCAGCCATAAAAACAGTGGCTGTTTCTGAAACTTTGCCTTACTCACTTATTCCAGACCTCTGAGGAGACCGTGGAGTTGTACTTTCTGCAGGATAAAGGAGTCTTCAGGAAGTCAGCAATGTCATAGGGAATCTGAGGTTCTGTCAAGGTGTATGGGGCCTGAGGAGCAACTGGTGAGTTGAATTTGACCCCAAAACTTCTTTTTCCCACCCACATGTGAGAAGTCAAACAGTCAAAGGGTAGGGGAAGAGCACCAAAAACTGTCTGCATTTCTTCCAAGGTCTCAACCACGTTCAAATCTCACTAGCACTTGCAGAAAAAATAGCTTTGGAATTACATGTCTGATTCCCAGAATTCTACCTGTTTGAGGAAACTGCCAGAAAACTAGTGTGGCCATGCCTCTGCCTGGACATACAGATGTGATCATTCACTCTAAGTTACTTTTTATTTAAATCCTCCTTCTCTTGCAGAAATGTGAGTTCCTCCTCTTGGAGATTTACTGCCATTCAGACAATATCTCTCTGGAACCAATGCAACGAGATAAGTGTGTAAGTAATAATAACAAACCATGATTATAGGTTGCCAAGGTGTTATGTGGTCTTGGCATGTACTCTTGTGGGATTTTTGATCTGAAATTCATGAGAGTGAGAGCACAAGATGCTGTTATCATTACCTTGCATTTTGGCTGGGTTTTGCAGGAATGCACAGAACGCAGACATTGCATTGTATCAGAAATTCTCTCATTATTTATTTTTCACTAGAGTGCAGAGACTTATCAATGCATGAGTAATTTTATGATGCTGAATAAAATAAAAAAGAATCTAAGTGAGCAGCATTACCCCAAAGTGGAGAGCTTTATGAAGGACATGCGCCTCATCTTTCAGAATCACAGGGCATTTAATAAAGTAAGTGTCGCTCCTGCTTCCATTTCCTTTTTTTCTCCATTAAGTTGCTCTGCCTTCATTTTTTGGTGTATGCAAATTTTATAGTTTATCTCACCCTATAACAAGCCTATACAAGCAAGATATCTAAAAGTGAGTGAGTTTTAAAATTCAAGATAGAACATAGCAGTGAGTCCCTAGGTATCTCTGCAACCAAAATGTCAGACCCCTGAGAGTTCATTCTTCTCTTCAAAGGCAAGAGGTGCCCACTGAGAACAGTGTGTCTTCCCTGCTCTGAACAAAGTGAGAAGAGAATTGTGTCCTAAAGTCATATTAACCTTCTTATCATCCCCCAAATATTATGAATCCACCTTCTCAGAAATTTCAGACTCTAGATTGCTTGGTATGTAAATGAACCATATAGATAACAGGAGTCACCAGAGAGAAATACAAGTGACAATCTATAAGAAATATCACTGATTGTACTTAGACATCTGTAATATTTTATGGTCACAAAGACGTTAGATTACTTTTTAGATTATCACTAAAGTAAACAATCCAAACCAAATGAATGAGTAGCCAAGCACGGTAGTGATTTTCCATTTTTGCCTCATTAATAGTAAATAATTGTGCACTTAGGGAACAGAAAATACTCTTAGCCACATGAGTTTTTAATCTTAACCTGGTTAATGTAATTTAAGTGTTTTAGGCAAGAGCTGCAATCATTCCAAGTCACACAGTGTCAAATGACAGTGATAATAAAGTCATTATTTTTGTCATTTTTTTTTTAGGACCATGGCTTGTACTTACTGGGAATTAACCTGGAGGCAGAATTCGAGCAGAATTTTAAGAAAGTGTTTTCTATTCAGGAAATAAAACGAGAACACATAGAAAACACAAGTAATTGAGAAGACAATGCATGAACAAAATTAGAAGTTCAACAAAGATAAAGAAACTATCAAAAACATAAAGAGATACCCTAGATCCAAAGCAGACAATGACTATACTGAAAAATTGAATAGGAAGCTTCAACATTAAACTAAGTAAAGCAGAAGAAAGAATCCGTGAGCTAGAAGATAGGTTATTTGAAATCATCCAGTCAGGGGAGCAAAGGAAAATGGAAAAGAGTGAAGAACACCCACAGGACTTAGGAGACATTTTCAAGGAAAACATATGTGCATCATGGTACTCCTAGAAGGCAAATGAAAAAGGAAAAAACAAAAAGTCAATTTAAAGCAGTAATGATTAAAAGCTTTCTAATTTGGGGAGGGAAATGGTCGTTTGTATTCCTATAGTCTGAAAACCCACATAGGTTGAATTTTATTCTTTTCAAATGTTTACATTTTTAAAATTGTTGTTCAATTACAGTTGCTTCCATTTTTCTCCATTACCCTCCGAGCGCTACCCTTTAAAGAAGCTATACTGACAAAATTTATAATTAAATTGTCAAATTCAAAGACAAAGAGAGAGTTTTGAAAGAAGCAGAGAATAGTGACTTGCCACATACAACAGAGCCCCCAGAAGATTACAAGCAATTTTTGAACAGACATTTTGCAAGTCATTAGAAAGTGAATGACATATTGAAAATATTGAAAGCAAAGAACTGCTATTGAAGATTAGTACTCAGCAAAGCTGTTCTATAGAATTAAAAGAGAAATAGACGTATCCAAGCAAATGGAAGCTGAGGGTATTCCTCACCACTAGAACTGCATGGTATCTCATTTCGTTTTAGCCTCATCCCAACACACCAACATTGCAGGTTCAACCCCCAGTCAGGGCACATACAAGAATCAACCAATGCATAAATAAGTAAGTAAGTAAGTAAGTAAGTAAGTAAGTAAGTAAGTAAGTAAAGAAATAAATGGAACAATATACAGATTTCTTTCTTGCTCCCTTTCTCTCTCTCTTTCTCTCAATTGAATAAATAAAAAGTTTAAATAAAATAAATATTGTATTAAGAAAAGAAATGCTAAAGGGCATTCTTCAGGCTAAAATAACAGGAATGTAATTAACAGTGTAAAATTAAAAAAAAAAACATGACGAGCTCTCCACTACACACAGTTGGCTGGTCTTTCTTCCTTTGTTACACACATATGGGATTTAGAGCAGAAAAGGGAGAGAGAGAGGCTGTGACTCAAATCCCTTGGAAAGAGATGGCTGTGTGAATAGGTCCTTGAGACAAAAACCAGATTCAACAACTATAATTCAACCTCCTTCGTTAAGATGGAAAAAATTCTTAAGCTGTTCAGCAACAACTTATATCCTCTTCTGTATAGCTGGTTTGTAAGGATTACCTCCAACTGAAATTCTAGGATAAGCCATGGTTTTCCTCCAGGCATATTATTTGCTGTGTTCTTTTGCTTGTGAAACAAGGCCACCACTCTAAGTATGCGTGTGTTTTTTTGCATCAGTGAGCATGGAAATACAAAGTGTATCTAGCCTGGCTGTGTTTCTTTTACTAATAAATATGTGCCTCTGATTCTCTGCACAGCAGCATCTCTCTTCCTTCATGGGCAAGGAGTTCAGGGGCACTGGACCCACTGGGTCTGCAGAAACCAGAACAAGGCTGGGCCTTGGAGTGGACAGTGCTGGTCCACAGTTTATGAGCAGGGATGGAGAGTTTTACTTCTGATCCATAGAAGTGAGTTACTACCCAGCCTGTTGCTTACAGAAAACATCTAGAAATTCTGGATGATGTTCAGAGAACAACTGTCTGAGACTTCTGCAAAGTGAACAAAAGTGGGGTGAGTCTGGAGGCAAAGAGCACCAAGGAAGCAGGCAGCATGAGATGTTTCCTGTTTACTGATAGCTGACTCTGAGAGTAGCCACAATCTGTGTGTGTTCAGCAGAGTCAGGAAGAAACCATAGCAATCATACTCTGGGGTAAAGGTGGGAAACCCCGAAGAAAGAAAGTCACAGAGAAAAAACTCAAATTTTGTGAATAAACTCTCCCCAAGTATCCTGACATGAGTTCTGAGACAACTGACAGGCAGAAGGTGACACGGATGGAAGTAAAATACCAGCATTCTTCCTGATAAAAGCTGGATCCAGGGACATGGCTTAGATGTGTGCCAAAAAGAATCCCTAAACCTGTACCCTAGCATTGGATTTATTCACAGGCCCAGCTGCTCTAATCTACCACTTTCCACCCCTCACACAACCCACAGACCACTGTCCTTATGCACTTGAGCTTGGTGAAACCCAAAGCCCAGGCCTCTCCAGCAGGATGAGCTCAAGGAGACCTACCTTTCACAGAACTCCCAGCCTGAGAGTCTCCCCAGGAAGAAGGGAGGGCAGGGGGCTCAGCAGTCCTGCTGGTTGATAGGCCACCTCCTAGAAGAGGACACTGGTGTGAGGCCTCAGTGTTCCTTCTGAGGTCAAGGTGCCACTCTGTGTTTTCTTGCATCCACAGAGGTGCCGTTGGTCTCCATCGTCAGCCCAGTGACTGCTGTTGCTGCTGCTTTCTTCCTCCTGCCTGTTAATCCTCAGTTCTGGACTCCCTGCCACATCTCAGGGACAAGCCCCTGTCTCCACAGGGTCTCCCAGGCTGGAGACTCAGCCCATTTTTGATGTCTGTTTGGATGCTGCCCCTGGTGAACAAGAGAAGCCCATCCCATCACTACATTCTCTGTCCTGTGGCCCTCCTTTGCTGCCTCTCCTGGTTTCCAGGTTTCCAGGCCACATAGCTTAGGCAACTTCCTTGAAAACTGGAATTGTCCATGTGTCATTGCTCTTTGCCACCATGGAAAATGCCCCAGCCACTTCCTTCTCTCCTTCAAGTCAGCCAAGCAGGACTGTTAGCGAGTCCAACTTGGTTCTGAAGATGGTCTTTTTCAGTTCCTAACCCGGGTGGCTGTGACCTTGTTTCCTGGGTCAAAAACGTTTGCTTCTCCACAGGGGACTCCTGATCCTATAGAATACACTGCTGTTCACTGAGTGGGGTGTGTGCCCCACTTTCTCTGGTGCCAGGAAAGGGACTCCTTTCTTTGAGCCAGGGCAGCCCCAGTGTTAGAGTGGCCACCCAGGAGGCAGGCAGCTGTGGATTTCTGTGGAGAGCAGGACGAGTAAAATGGCATTGGTGCAGTTAGGACCATAAAGCATATACAACAAAGTATATAAAGTATAACAAAGCACAGAGAATATAGAAAGCAGAAAGTATATAAAACAAAATGGAGTCACTTATGTCAACTAAAATGGCTATCAGTCAGTCACCACACTTTGGTTCCAGAGGAAAATTTCCTAAGTCAGAGGAAATGCTTATGGCAAGGAGACAGGTCTGCCCTTGTGGTCAGAGCAGAAATGTGTGGCAAAGACACACTTATGACATCTGCACACATGGTCAGAGGAGCTGTGTCAGTGGAATGGGACTACCCATAGCCAGCATCCAGGGGAGATTCCACATTTGGCATTAGGGGTGCCAAGACATTTATGGAAAGTACCCAGAAGGGTGGAGTGCACCACTCTCAAGGTGGAACTGAGGCAGGCTCCAGACCATAGCTGAGATAGCCGATTTCCACACACCAGAGTGCAGCTCCCCGCCACGCTGTTCTCTCTCAGCAACAGCCACCAAAGGCTCTGCCCTGATGGACTGAGGACTTAGCTGGCCCTGCTGCCCACCTGACTCCTGAGATCCTTCCTTTCTAGACAATGGCAACCCCCTGGCCTACTGTGCTGTCTCTCCTACCTGCAGACTGAGACTCTGGGACTCGAGTTTATTATCTCCCATTGATTGCCACGTGTGTGTGTTATATTCCTCTTAGACTGTTAGCATCTGAGTAGGATACTAACGTATGCTGAGGGTCTACTTTGAGTGAACCTGCACTCAATAAAAGTTGAATGCATAGCGTAGTTACTGTGCGTGGCTCTTGTCTACTCCTTGGTGCCAGGCTGCTCAGCAGGCAGCTAACCAAGCAGTTGCCTGGCTGCCTTACAGGAAAGACTATATCGCCAAAAAGACACTCATGACTATTTCCCACCCAGCCAACTGCTATCTGCCTCTCATTCACGTGGTGATTTGGTGACTCTAAGCAGACTCAGGGAAAAGCTGGCACATTTATGCCAACACCCAGTGTGGTGCTGGCCTAGTCTTCCTGCTGCCTGGGGACAGAGGAGAGAGAGAGGAGGGACACTGGAAAGGCAGGAGTCATCTCTGTCAGACTGTGTCTGGGCCACGAGTCCCATGCATGTTGGGAGCACAGGGCAGCTGTGTCCTCCAGAGGCTCTGCTTACCAGTCTGGAAGGTGGGGGGATTCCTGTGTGTGCAGCACCTGGGACACACTGAGACCCTGCCCACTGGTTCAGAAATCCTCCTCAGTGTCCTGGAATTTGTCCCAATGTGATCCATATTCACTCCTTAGTGGGGAAGAAATAATGTTCATGGAGAGAGGGTAGAACCTTTCCTGTATCTTAAATTCAACTGGGCCAGAACCTAGAGTTTCATCCAGAGGAAGTCAGACTCAGGGACCAAATGTGGAAACCATTGCTCTCAGGATGGTGCTTCTCCAGCCCTCTGTCCACACACTGGGGCCAGCTCACTTGGCTCCAGCCTCTCCAAGGGCCTGAGTGAAGATCTGAAGTTTCTTTCTTTTTCCCCTCTCCGGACGGTTGTCTCCACATGGACAAAAGGCAACACAGGTTCATTCCCAGCACATGGAAGCCCTGCACCCTCTTAGCAGGTTGGTACAGTTGGGGACAGTGGGTTCGCAGGATGTGTTTGGTGTCTTTGCACACACAAGGGGACTACAGAGGACTGGTTCTGCACCCTCTGGCAGACCATCACTTTGACCTTCCACAGCCTGGCTGTCCCTCCTTGTCCTGCATTCCTGCTGCCACATATTTTGATGGCTGAGGACCTCTATGGGGTATAGAAGGGAAAGGCAGCAAGGGCAGCACACAGTAGTTAGTTTCACTTCTCTTTTCCCCATTTGGGTGAAGTGCACTCAGGGTGAGTCTGTTACACGTTTCCTGCTCAGAGATGAGCAGTCTCACTGAAACCAGGCAGAGGACACCAGAAGCGTGAGAGGTTCTGGCAGGGCCAAGGGCAGGACAATGGCCACCGAGGGCAGCCACTGCAACACCAGGTCAGTTTAACTTTCTGGCAGCGCTGCTGCTTCACTGCCTGCTATTTATTAGAGACAGTCCTCTAAACCTTGATCTTACCTCTGTTTACAAGAAGCCTCATGTGCAGTGTAGGGAAATGCAGGAATATGTAGTGAGAGAAGCAGGTCTTTAAACTACAGAGGGACAGCTGCTGGTGTGAGAGCAGCTGCCACAGCCCACAGGACTCTTGTCTTACACCTACTGCTCTGCTGTGGAGCCATTTCGATTGGGTTGTGCTTCCTGAGGTTTTGAGGCAGTGATTTGTTATTTTCTCATGACCTCTGTGCCCTCTCTTTTCCCTCAGGCCTCCTCTACTTTCACCTAGGTCGTTTCAAAGATGGTACTTTAGAAAATGTAAATTCAGGCTAAACGTCCGACTTTTAAGTCTGGGTGCCTTGGTCTCCCACCTGACCTGTGTTTGGTCAGCTCTGGGCCTATTCTGGTCTCAGGCTGGGGGTCTGGTTCTTTCTCCAGGGATCTTGATAAGGGAGTCAAAAGAAGAGAAAAAACTAAGATACCAAAGACTAGTGCAGGCTGAGTGTTCCATTTGTACTTTCATTTCCTGCCCTGGAGAGGTTTACACATTTGGCAAGAAAAAAGCTAGAAATCCTTTCCTGTCAATCATCAGGAGGATCCATTTCATTCTTCCTAATGGCCACAAACTACTGCATGGAATCTACATACTATAATTCTTATACCAACAAGTTCTGAAATACAGTTTTATATTTCTTTATGTTTCTGTGTGGACCCAAGTATTTGTCTACTTTCAAAAACAGAAATGTGAAATTGTTGAGGGTAATAACACTCACTTGTTTATACTGAGGATCTTGCTAAGTAGCCTTTTTTTCCCCCAAAGGCTGAATCTCTATTCTCCTACCATTGGCTGATGAGCCATCTGTCCACACCCAGACTTCACAAAGGAGCTGGATAAAGGAACACAGCCTGTTAATTTGTATTCTCTGATTACATGGGAGGTTGAATGGGTTTTCCTGTCTGTTGTCTATTTAAATCGGTTTTTCTCTGAATTGTTGGTTTATTTTGGGCCACTGCTATTAGTTGAGGAGATTGTCCTTCCTTTAATGACAAGGAAGAGTTTGCTGCTTAGTTTGAACTTTATAAATATACTTTTCTTGTCTTTAACTTTGTTTATGGTAGCTTCTATCATATTAAAGCTTGAAATTTAGAGTATAGACTTATAGTGTTAATTTAATAAGATGGATACACCTTGGTTATTATAAATAAATAAAAGCGATACCAAAAGTTACTGGTGAATTCTATGCAGCTCTAGTTAAACACAGTTCTTGTGATCTTTAAGGTGGCAGATTCAATTTCATCTCTATTTCAGACATACTTCCTTCTCCAATATGTTGTAAAACTTTTTATTTTTCAAATTTTGGGGAAAATTATTTTTTCATAGATGTAACTTGAGCTCTCACAGCTTTATATGCCTCCTAAACTTTTATTCCTTTAGTTTATTGTGTTCTCTCAAATTTTTTCTCTTTGGCAATTATTTTAAGTTTAGCTCTTTTTTTTTCTTTTTGGTTTCTTATAATTTCTAATTTGAAAGAATTAATTCTGTTTGTTTTTGAGAGTGGTCTTAATTTCCTTCCATAGCTCTGCAAGCTCAACTTTAAACCACGTTTTGTTACTATAAATCAGGCCATCTGCACACTGTTGCTTTATTTATGTTGGTGTGTATGTGACATTGTTTTTGATCGTCTTTCTTATCCCCTGGGCTTTTCCTGAAAGTGAACCCTGTCTGCAGGTTGGTATTTGTGTTCCTTCACTTTTTCTCCTGCCTGTTGTGGTTGTATAGCTTACTTCACTTATGTTTGACTTTTGTATCATCCTCATTTGGGTGAATTTTTAAAAAATATTTTCTGCCTTATTTGAGACTGAATTTCTTAGCATCTAATATACAGTTTGAAGGACTTACCATTTTTCTTGTCAGTTTTTCTGAGGTGCCATATTTGGTTATCCATCCTGTTGCCCCCTGCTCTGCTGCCCTTTTCATTACCCAGTGGCCACATGTGCCGGGTCTGCTCTGTGCTCTCTCTCCCCTGCCATTGGCCTATAAGAGCCTCTTCTAGTGCCACAATGACTGTCATAGTGACAGCAGCTTCATATGAACTTTGACATCTGGCAGAGTGCATCTTCCCATTCTCTTTCCCTTTACAAAGTACCCTGTCCTTTTGCATGTCCAAACCAGCTTGTCAAAATCTTGTTGGGATTTATATTAGGATTGTAATAAATTGGGGATCAACCACAGGAGAAATGACATCATGATAATATTGAGTTTTCTATTTCATTAATATGGTATATGCATACTATTAATTAAAAGATATTCTTTAAAAATTTTTTTCTTTCAAATATTTTATTTATTTATCTTTATAGGGGAAGGAAAGGAGAGAGGGAGAGAAATATCAATGTATGGTTGCCTTTTATGTGTCCCCTGCTGGGAACTGGCCTGCAACCCAGGCATGTGCCCTGACTGGGAATCGAACTGCAATACTCTGGGTCACAGGCCTGCACTGAATCCACTGAGCTACACCTGCTAGGGCATAAAAGACATTCTTTAGAGGGTTCCAGCCAAGATGAAATTGTAGGTAGGTAACACTGTGCTTCCTTCCACAACTGAAAGAAAGACAGGAAAATATTAAAAAAACCAAAAATATGCAGAACTGCCATAAAATTGAAGTATATGGAAGTTAGAGAACCAAGGAGTTAAAGAATAAACATTCATCCAGACTGGTAGTAGGGGAGAGGTGGGCAGCTGTGGCAGAGAGGACTCCAGGAAAGGTGGTAGCTAGAGGACCAGGTGAGGTGGTAGCTGGTAGGAGCAGATGGTCCCACATTTCTGTGCAGATAAACCAGGAGGAACAATGGGGAGGTGAGATGGATGGAGCAACCCAGGGTTCCAGTGTGGGGAAATAAAGCATGAAAACCTCTGACTGAAAAAAGCTGTGGGTTTTGTGGCAGTATGGAAAGCTCCCACCTTACAGGAGAGTTTGTTGGAGAGACCCACAGGGTCCTAGAACATACACAGACCCACTTACCTGGGAATTAGCACCAGAAGGGTCCAATTTGCTTGTGGGTAGTGGAAGAAGTGACTGAAAGGCAGCCAAGAGATCAGCAAGCCAGTGTTCCTTCTCAGACCCCACCCACATATTGCACAAAAATGCAGAAACGTGGGTGATTCAGACACAGGCCCACAGTGTTTATGTCGTTATGGATAAAATGAGACATTCACAGAGACTACCGATTCCAGTGGAGGAAAAGGGACAGCATGGCTTTTTCTCTCAAGGGGGGCGAAAACTATGGCCTTTCCCATGACAGGCCTTTATTGGGTTTCTCAGCACATTACATGATGATTGATGCTCATTTACTATGCACAAATTCGCTTTAGGTGGTTACCTTTTACAGAAAACAAAAGAGCCAATGCAGCTAATCACATCACAGAAGAAGGATATTTGCAAATGAAAAGGGCAAAAGTGGTTGAACCCCTTACCCTCCTCTTTGGAAGGTTTAGCATGGATTTTAGGAAGTTACTTTGCAGTAAATGTTTGCCACAAATCCAGGTGAGAGAGTTTTTTAATAAAAAGCAAAATTTTGTTTTTTTAATAATCTTTTCACTTATTTCATTTTCTTTGCTTATTGTGTTGGCCAGGACTTCCAGGATTATGGTGAGCACAAGTAATGCCAGTAATCCCCTGCATCTTGAGCCCAGGTCCAAAGAGAAAGCTTTTCTCATTGTGCCATTATAGTTGATGATAGCCGTAGGTTTTTTTCTTAATATAGAAACTTTCACAGATTTTTAAAAAGTGTATCTAATATTCTCAGTGTCCGAGGTGTTTCTGGCCCTGTTTTCTACATTTTCTGCTGTTCTCACTCCCAAAGATTATTTAAATAAACTTTTAGGAGGCCCTGGCTGGTCTGGCTCAGTGGACTGAGTGCCAGCCTGCAAACCAAATAAACTTTTAGGGGAAATAATGTTACATTTATAGAGAAGTTGCAAAGATACTCTAGAAATTTCTGTGTACTTCACACCTAGTTTCACATCCTGTGATGTTATGCTCTTACACTGCTGTGGTACATTTATCAAAACAGAAAAACCTGCATTGCTACATCCGTGTTACTGAAACTGCAGACTTTTAAAATTTTAACGGTTCTTCCAATAAAGTCCTTGCTGAGTTCCAGGATTGACTCCAGGATTCCACGTTGCCTTCAGTCATCCTGTCACCAGTTCTATGGTCTGTGACTGTTCCTCAGTTTCTCCTTGTTTTTCATGGCCCTGAGAGTTTGAAAAGTACCAGTCAGGCATTTTGTAAAATGTGGCTCAATTTTGGCTTGTCTTGATTTCTTTTAGACTGGCATTATGGGTTTCATGAAAGAATTCCCTGAGGAGCAGTGGCCTTCTCACCACTTCTGTCAGGGCAGATGTCAGCCTGACCTATCACCAGGGATGTTCACCTTGGTCACTTGGTTAAGGTGGTGATTGCCAGTCTTCTTTTGCAAACTTGTTATGTTTTCCTCTCCACACTTGTTCCCAGAGATTATATTGCTTATTTTGCTGGCTGACTTTGGCTGTATCCTCAATTGTATTTGAAAAACTTACACATGGGTAAAATTTAGCCCTGCAGTGAAGGCATGAGACTTTGGACAGGATTTCTTTTGCTACAGCAAGGTACCTGAGGGCATAAGCCCTCCCTTCATCTCGCCTGGATTCCCATCAGACTATCTATCCTGTGTGGACTAGACTTTGTTCTATCCCTCGCATATTAAAGTGGTCAACCCCAAGGATCTGGTTCTCTGGGATAAAAAGCACCTTGAAGTCAAACGTAGCTTCTGTGTTAAATAACTCCCTGGTTTCTCCTTCAGCTTTACTTTGCATAATAAATTCTTACATTATTTTCACTCCCTAAATGATTAATAATATTTAAATGCTTTTCCCAACTTTCATGTTTTATCAACAGAAAGTGAT